ATTGGTTTAAGCTCTTGAAACAACAGAGATTGTCATAGCTGATTATCAAATGTTATTTTTATAACATTTTTTTGGATGAATTATTATTCATCCAAGACTGATGTGGAGCATCACTGTGGTATGCTATACTTGTTCTACTGTGTGTTGTCGTCTGTTACACAGTATCTCCTCTCGTTGCTTGCGCTGTGCAGTGTCCTTGTTGCATAATTTAGTGAGTGTTGTGGGTTTGTGTAGCTGGTGTGTGGTGCAGTGTTATATTTCCAGGCTGTGTGCCTCAGGGAGATGACCCAGCTGCAGAAGGAGGTGACGGCCATCGAGACCAAGCTGGAGCAGAAGCGCAGCGACAGACACAACCTGCTGCAGGCTTGCAAGATGCAAGACATCAGACTGCCCCTGAAGTCTGGCACCATGGAGGACATCAGCCAGGAGGAGGTACACCCCTGTACACTCTGCACTCAATTCAGCTACACAGCTGTACCCAATGACCAGCTGTGGAAATATAAATTCATAACCGCTCTGTGTGTAATAACTACCCTTCCCTCTTTCTGTTTCCTCATTTTTTCCTACTCTCCCATCTTCCCGCTTTCCTCCATCTTCCTCCACTTCCTGTCTGCCCCCCATCCCCGTCTCTCCCCCTCTCAGGGGGGCTCCCAGGCGGAGGAGTCAGTGAGCAGCAGTCAGAAGACGTCCAGCAGCCTGCTGGCCAAGGAGGCTCTGATCGAGATCGACTACAGCGCTCTGGCCGAAGACCTGAAGGTACGCACCGCCCCGTCCGCGTGTCCCCGTCCATCTCTGTCCCCTCAGCCCCCCGGCCGTCGGCCTGCACAGGCTGCTTGGCCTTGACCCCCCAGTCTCTCTGCCAGGACGCCCAGTCGGAGGATGAGATCAAGGCAGAGATGAACAACCTGCAGCAGCGCCTGAACGAGCAGCAGAGCATCCTGCAGCGCATCAGCGCCCCCAACATGAAGGCCATGGAGAAGCTGGAGAGCGTCCGCGACAAGTTCCAGGAGACCAGCGACGGTGAGGCGGGGGAGGGGGCGGAGTGGGAGGGACCCGGAGATGCGTGTCGGCACAAAGGCACGAGGGAAAGAGGCTGGGGTCCCAGGTTCAGGGAAAGGGCACCGGAGAGGAGGAGCGACAGCGAGGGAGTGGGGGAGTCTGGGGGAGGACCGAGTGCAATCGGGGCGAGAGTAGAGTTGATGGGGTTGGGGGCGGTTTGGGTCAGAGGCTGTTTTGGGCACGTGCGTGATCCCTTCTCACACATCCTCCTGTCTCCCCCACCCTCCCCAGAGTTTGAGGCAGCCCGTAAGCGAGCGAAGAAGGCCAAGCAGGCTTTTGAGCAGATCAAGAAGGAGCGCTTCGACCGTTTCAACGCCTGCTTCGAGTCCGTGGCCACCAACATCGACGAGATCTACAAGGCCCTGTCCAGGAACAGCAGTGCTCAGGCATGCGCTCCCGAAGTGACACCCACATCGCCATAGTGCCACGCACTGGAGCTCAGGCACACGTTGGCTGACACACAGTCCCACAGGGACATGTACACAGGGACACACACTTGTATTCCTGCTCGGGCACACAGTGACTGACACACAGTCCCACAGGGACATGTACACAGTGACACACACCTGTATTCCTGCTCGGGCACACAGTGACTGACACACAGTCCCACAGGGACATGTACACAGTGACACACACCTGTATTCCTGCTCAGGCACACAGTGACTGACACACAGTCCCACAGGGACACAGTGACACACACCTGTATTCCTGCTCGGGTACATATTGACTCACACACCCATAGTGACACGAGCACACTAGCACACCCTGCCCATAGTGTTGCTCGCACAAACTTGCATTCCTGCTCAGGCACACACTCCACAGAAACGTACACCTGCTTCTCATTCTGTTTTCATTTACTCTTCCGTCACCCTCATGCAGTGAGGTTCCAAAAGAAGACCTGACAGTTGCAGTCCTGTCACTTTCAGGTGTAATAGCAGATGTCCTCCCCACGTTCCCTGGTGTTTCTTTATAGTTTATTTCCACATTGATAGCAATAGAAACACACACACTAATAACCATATTGAGTACGTACAGGTATACCCAGTTCTACATACCACATGATTCTATACACTGGCTCTTTCTGTTTCTGATCCTTCATCTCTCTTGTCCTCTCAGGCATTCCTGGGCCCAGAGAACCCAGAGGAGCCTTATCTGGACGGGATCAACTATAACTGTGTCGCTCCGGGGAAGAGGTTTCGGCCCATGGACAACCTGTCTGGCGGGGAGAAAACTGTAGCTGCCCTAGCACTGTTGTTTGCCATACACAGGTGAGGGATGGGAGGAAGACATAGGACGAGTCAGAATGAGAGGTTGGGGGGAGGGTGAGAGATACTGGGAATAAGGGTGCACAGATGGGGCATTAATGCACTCTAACTGTATTAAGACCAATGGGTTAATGCACTACACAAGGAGGGTCAAAACACTGCTGGACAGTGCACTGAGACAGGTTAAGGCACAGCACTGAGACGGTTTAATACACTGCACTGAAACAGACAGGTTAATGCGCAACAGTGGGAGGTTTAATGCACTGCTGTAAACCAACTGCACTGAGACAGACGAGTTATCATATGTGCAGTTGTCCCTCACACTGAGACCAAGAGAGACAGTAGTTATCTGTCTTGGCTTTGAATGGACTGAAAGCACTATGTAAGTGTGAGGATTATTATTATTTCGGCTTCATCCTCGAATTTGAGAAGGGCTGGGCGATAGGGAAAGGAGGAGATATAGGCCCTGAGTAGACAAGTGAGGAGCCCCGCTCTGTGGTGACTGTCTTCCTGTTCCTCTCGTAGCTACAAGCCGGCTCCCTTCTTCGTGCTGGATGAGATCGACGCTGCTCTGGACAACACCAACATCGGGAAGGTGGGGTGCCATCGAGGAGACTGTGCATGTCACCGCATCTCCGGGGAATTTGGGCTTGAATAGCAATCTGTGGAGTGGGTCTGTCTAAGTGTGTTGTTGTGTGTCAGTGGCAGTGTGGTGCTTTGTTGTAATGTGGGTGGTGTCCTGCAGGTGGCAAACTACATTAAGGACCAATCGGTGGTGAACTTCCAGGCCATCGTCATCTCCCTGAAGGAGGAGTTCTACACCAAGGCCGACTCGCTCATCGGCGTATACCCTGAGGTCAGCATCCCCCTCAACACACAGCACGAAGCAAGGGAGTGGGAATGGAGTCCCTGTGCACACACTGCACCCAGCACGTGTCCCTGTGCTCAGGCCAGCAGCAGATTGAAAAGTTACTGATAGGAGCACATTGTCTGACAATCCATTTTAAGTTGCATCTGTTAGTGAATAACACGGTCTGAAAGGAGATTGCCATTGTGCTTTGCTGTGACTGTGCGCTACACATCAATTCATCTCCTTCTCTCTGTTTCCTCTCCCTCTTGCAGCAAGGAGACTGCGTCATCAGCAAAGTGCTCACCTTCGACCTGTCCCAGTACCCCGACGCCAACCCTGCCCCCAACGAGTAAGGCTGCACCAGAGGCAGTGACCCCCGCGGGCACGTTCCTCCAGCTGCGCCTGCTGACCGACCACAGTCCAGTCGGGGGGGGTCGCTCACTTTTTATTTCAGTTCAGAAAGGTGCGTCTGTTCACGGCAGAGCCCCTCGCTGCAGAGTGTCTCGGAGAGCTGCACCGCGCAGGTTCCTGAACAGACCCCGGCGCAGCAGCGCCGTCTCCTTTCAGAGTTCTGCATTTTGACTCTTTTTTTCTCGAATTTATCCTCTTTTACATCTTTAGCCTACAGCTGTCACCTAAAAGGGTGTTTTTAAAGTTTTTCGGCTTGCAAGGCTGCCTTTCCTAATCATCGGTCCATGGTTAGGGTGTCTTTATTTCTGTTTTTCAGTTCCGGTTAATGATCGCGAACAGGATTTAACCGTGTGGTCGGTTTTACCTGTTAATTCCTGTTTCATTCAGAAGAGAATCTTTTAAAAACTTTGCTGGTGATCTTAGTTTCACACCAGTTTTGGGTCTGTAGTAGAAGTACAGTTTTACAAGAGTTAACATAATCATGTTCAAATAAGATGATGCAGCCAGTGTGAGTTGTAGGCCGTCGCTGTGTCTTGGAGTCACTATTTTACTGGGTGTTTGTTGCTGGTGGTGCTGGACATCAGTGGAAATGGGTGCCGAGTTTTTTAGGATCTGTTGTCTAGTGTTTGCAGGCAGTTTTGTAGCATATTTAATGCAATTTAAACAGCAAGCACTAAACAGCAGCAGCCCAGTCCTCTCTGGATTTGAGAGGGTGTGACGCCAGCAGGCTCCTGTCGATGGAGGTGTGACGCCAGCAGCCTTGCTCACAGCCATTACGCTCGTTGTTAACAGAGTGAACACGGTGTAAACCTGCCTGTAGTTCAGTATCCACAAGCTCAGATCATGTTGAGAGCCTGATGCGCATCTTTTTTCATGTTTTTAATGTTTAACCCAGTGAATCTCATGGCATTTTGTTACAATTGTGTTATCCCTCTTGTACTCAAGTAGGAAACTTAGTTTTTCCTCTGGCAGGGACAGACCATTGTGTCAAAGGATTATAAGGATGTATGGAAAAAAAAATCAATCTCTATAAAATTGTTTAAAAAAAAGAAACCTGAAGGTGACCAAACCCTGTAGATTCATTCTGCTGTATCTGGACAGTTTGCAGCACTAGAGGGAGTCTGGCACCTGGAACGTTGTTTAATGTTTGTAAAATTATGATTAAAATAAAATCTTTTTGTAGGGGAGTCTTTGTTGTTCAAGGACTTTTCCGTATTGTGCATAAGGTATCTATTCCCTCCCCCGAACCTTTGATACAAGCTCACTCCCTTTTTTTTAAACCCATGTGTGGTCTGCATATTGAATAAATAATGCTCATAATGAACACCATAAATCAGTCAGTGGTTTTTAGTGTGTGTTGGCCGCCTGTGCCACAGTCCAAAGGGCTATAATCTTTAATTAGACTTGAATGGATACAGATGAACTGAGAGTTTTGTAAACTTACTGTGCCGGTCCACCAGTTCACTAATATTAATGTTCATCAGTCTTTAGGTAGAGACGTGTCTCCTGTACTTGGTTTTAATGCACATCTTCACTGGTGGTTTGTAGGAACAAGCCACTTGGCTGCTTAATTGAACCAATGCCCCAATTTCCCTTCAAGAAAAAAGGAAATGACACCTTTGGAATAAGTAGCAGCTACCATGTGGGTGAGAAGACCCAAAAGTCCACTTCTTATGTTTTTTTTAAGATCATAAGCTTTAACGTGCCTCTTCCATTGCAGTTTACCCAGGTATGATGAGCAGAGTGTGTTGCAATCAGCTGTGTGTCTGTGTGTCTGTGTCTACACGCGGGTCTGGCTCATTGAGACTCGGACAGACAGCCTGTCTTCTTTCACAAGAAATCAGCGAAGCTCACAGTTGTCGATTAATCATTATTTATTCATTTGTTAGCGCGGCAAACGCAGTAAGCACGAACAATGTCAGTGGGCCCTCCGTCGCCCTTGAGAAAGACGCTGCAGATGCCTTCGTCATCAGTCCTATTCATATTTGCTGATATTTTGTTTTTTTTTTTTGCATTTGTTATTTATATATAAAAAGGAAACGGAGAGAATTACATAACATACCAAACAAGAATATTTATACACTGATAATGCAGTTGTCAGGAATATTGTAGCATCAGTTCTTTTTTAAATTCTTTTTTGCTCTCATTTGTAATAGTTTCTAACGAGTCATATTTTTTACTTTTTTTTTTTGCAAGTTGTCTATCACTAAAGTAACTATGGAGACTATTTTTTTCCTAAATGCTAAAAACAGCCAAATTACAAACAACATACAAAATGAAAAAGGAAAAAAAAGAGCCAAATAAAAAAATAAACACTTCAGAAATATTTTTAAAAATAAAAGAAATTCAACATTTGCAGAAAACAGCTAAAAAAAAATGACATTATTCCACAATCTCTTGGGATTATATTTACATTCACGAAGGAGCTCTTCCCCCAACCTCAACCCCAACTCTTCCTGTTCCCCAAGCCCAGCCATGCTCAGCGCCTCACTGCCTGGGCACATACCGTACTTCGGACACGGGCTCCAAAGTGCACGTCGATCTTGGTTCCCAGTTTCCCAAAGCTATTTTGTGCTGTTCCCACTCTCGTGAACTGTTTGCACCTTGGGTTTTTTTTTTTAACATGTTCGTTCAATCGGAAAGCACTATTTTTTTTTAGCGTTACAGTGGGGATACAGGTTGCTAAGCCACCTTCCGGGATAGTTCCCAGCAGGGCTGGCTCACAGCCTCGATCGCCTTCTCTTGTTGCGAGAGTAACATGAGCAGCTGGAAGCTGAGCATGCTGGGATACCGCAGGAAATGGCGTTGACCACAGTTTTCCCAGACTGTTCGGCTGCCCCACCCCCGAGAGACTGCAGCACCAGAGGTTTGAGGACAGTGGCCCAGAGAGCACCCCCAATGCTCCTGAACTGAGCCTCGCTGAGGGACTACAACTTTGGTGGGACCTGTGGGTACAGGAACCTTTTTAAGGCAGGTTGAGTTTTATACCTTAAGGTGCCCTGGTGCAAAGTCACGGCTGGGTTGTGGGCGTCTTATCTCTGGAGTCAGACAATCGCTACAGCTGGTCAGTCACCCTGACACTCTGTGCAGGCAGGGTGGGGCACCAGCTGTTACAAGGATAACAAGTCAAGAACTTGGACATGGGGGAAATTGCACAAGAAAGGACATGATCCCACCTGCTTTCAAACCTATTTTTTTGCAACAGTACAGTTTTCTAGTGTTTAGGAAAGAATACTAAGTGATTGCTGTATCTATACAGCTCCTGCCTGTAAACCAAGGACAGGCTGGTGTGTGTTTTACACCTCTTCCCTGCCAAATGCCTGCTGGGAATCCTGCCCCCACTGGCTCGGGCCCTCATCTGGGAAGGTGGACGCCCACAACCACAACTCGTGACCCCCCCCAACTGAGACGGCACAGCTTTGGCCTGCTCCACCCCTGTGTACCTGGAGAGCAGCTCTTGGGTTGTACAAGAAAAAAAATGATATAGTCCCATGATGCACTGCGATAAATCGGTCTCTGCAGCGGGGCTAACCCTTCTGAGCACCAGGGGGCGCTAGGCCTGCCTCCACCCCAATGGACCAGCCTGGGAACCTTAATCAACCTCCCCCCCACCCAGAGACACCACTTCTGTAAAGCCCTGGCGTCAAAAAACATGAACCTGGTATAGCTGGGACTGACACAATTGTTCAGCACAGCAACATTGCTACACAAAGCCTCAGACGCACACAGTATAGGATCTGGCAACAGATTAAATAATGGTAATAGATATATATATATATCTCTCATGTATTGATACATACGGTGAGCGGGATATGTATTATAAATACACCATTCAAATAACAAAAAAAATACAAAAGTACAAAGATATGAGATTATGGGCCGAGGTCGAAGTGCACAGAGCGGTTGACGTGAAGGAAAATAACAGAAACGGTTTAAAAAAAAAAAATTAAGGCATTTTGACACTGGAACAAGGAAACAAGGCTGGCGATGAAGAAAGTGAGAGGGAAGAGACAGCTAGAGCAGTCCGGACAAGACGCACGCACGCACAATCCCTCCTTAAGACTCCTCCACAGTCGCATCGCCAGCGCGGAAAGTGAGACCGAGTCCAAAAGTAAGAAAAAAAACACAACGATAACACGTACTCCATACACCAGGGTTTGGAATGCACCAAGGCTGCGCCTGTGAACGATTGGTAAAAACTGGTTTACCATGTTTTACTGCCTTTGCTACTGTTGAAACCTATTCCGTGATTCATTACCCTTAGTACTGTGGTATAACTGGTATACCACATTTCACTGCTCTTATTACAATGGTAAACATTTCGGTTTCCCATGCTTTACTGCACTTATTATTGTGGTAACATTGATTTACCATGCTTTACTGCGGTAAAGCCAGTTTACTATGCTTAACCTCTTTTATTACGGCGGTAAAATGAGTTTACCGTGCTTCACTGCCCCTATTGAAGTGGTAAAATGAGTTTACCGTGCTTCACTGCCTTATTCCAGGATTCTGTACACAACTCTCATTTCTTGAAACACATTTCTGTCTCCACGTCTGCCCTGTTGACCTACCTCTCTCTCTCTCTCTCCCCCTGCGTCTCCTGTCCTCCTGTCTGTATTTACCACTCAGGGATTATCTCCCCTCTCCCTGTGTCTCCTGTCCCACTGTGTATATCCCAAGTAGGGAATTCTTGGTAAACTTCTCTCTCTCTCACTGTTTCATCTTGCTGTCACCTCTCGTGTTGTGTGCTCAAAACTGGGGAGTTACCATAACTTAGAGGCAAGGGGGGCAGGCACACAGCACATCTGAAAAAGGCCCAAGCAGTGAGATCTGTAAACAATAATGGAGTTTCATTAATCTGATGAGATGCAGCAGGTTGATCTGTCTGGATGCTGAGTGTCTGTCAGTCTGGACGGGAGTCTCAGTCTGTGTATTGGCCTACAGACTGCAGTCTTGCTTGTGTGAGTAGCAAGGTGTCCGCGTTTTAGAATATTTTACATCTCCATCTTTCAACCTCGTTTTTTTAATATCGATTTCCCTGTGTGTCCATCAGTCCACCTCCCTTTTCCAGCACCAGTCAGATAGTCGGTGTGTCTGTGTCTGACCAGCACCAGTCAGATAGTCAGTGTGTCCGCACTCCTGTCCTGCAGTGGTCAGATAGTTGGAATGTCTGTGTGTCTTACCAGCACTGGTCAGATAGTACGTTTGTCCGTGCTCCTGTCCTGCAGATGTCAAGTAGTCAATGTGTCTGTGTGTCTGACCAGCACCGGTCAGATAGTCAGTGTGTCTGTGCTCCTGTCCTGCACCGGTCAGATAGTCGATAATGTGTCTGCACGCCTGTAGAGCACCAGTCAGATAGTTGGTGTGTCTGCACACCTGTCCAGCAGTGGTCAGATAGTCAGTATACCTGGGTATCTGACCAGTGCTGTTCAGATAGTCAGATAGTCAGTGTGTCTGTTAGATCAGACAGTAATTCCTGTGTCTGCCTGTCCGTTGGTCAGCGTCCCGGTCTGTCGGCCTGTCCTTCAGTCAAGGGCATCTGTCCCTCACTCCAGGGGTACCCCTACATGGTTGGGGTTGACAGGAGACGTGGCCCCCGAGCTGTCATGGCCTCCAGGCCCCTGGCCTTCCCTCCGGCCGCTGTACTGGCCGATGAAGGAGCCGTCCTCGTTGAACTGCGCGTCGACACTGTCGCCGTAGTCCGCCAGGCTGTAGTCACTCCCCGGGGGCTTCACCTCACCGTTCAGAGAGGGCTGGCTGGCGGAGGAGTGCTTCTCTTCATTGTCACTGAGAGAGGGAGGGCAGAGGAGGAGGCTTAATCCACACACACTGCACTGAGACAGAGGGCTTAATACACACAC